TGTGTGTGTGTGTGTGTGTGTGTCAAGCCTTAACATCAGAGGCTTTTATTTTGAAAGTATTTGGGGGCAATCTGCTCCTGATTGGGCATTTTGTAAAACTCACTATGACATCATCTAAATGCACATATTGTCTACACTAGAGGTCTCTCAGTACACAGGACGTCTGCTCAGCTCATTTCTCTAATAACTTTTATCTAGAATTATGAGTTCCTATTAAACCGCACCAGAACCACCAGAACCAGTAAGTAGTACCAGCATCATTTAGAAAACACACACAGAACTACTATAAGAGTCAAAGTATAGCATGTCATTAAAAGGTCAAAGCACAGTATGAAGAAAGTGCTGATATGATTTTAATTATAAACATGAGAATACAGAACTGGATGAAAACATAAACTTTTAGTGTTCAACAGATTGAAAGAGAAACTCAGCCTTCAGTCGTCTACAGAGAGTGAGCGGATGAAGTTACTCTAGTGAAGAAACAGAACGATGGTAGAACCTAGAACCACAACTACAGCTGCTGTGTTGATGTTCTGATGATCAACACTAAATAATCTATGTTCTTTCTTTGCTTGATGATTTCCTTCTCACATCAGTCAGCATGAGAAAGAGAGCGGACCTCAGGGAGATAGAATCTTCTGACTTAAAACAGACTCACATCTGCTTGAACTTTGTGCAACAGCCGGATTAAAGAGAGAGAAAGCAGCTGTGAGGTCTTTAAAGATCAGAATATTGTGTTTACGGTTCTCCAGGCAGCTTTTGGTTTCCAGAAGTTAACACAAACTAAAGGAAAGTGTTCCTCACTGCATTAAAAGTCTGCAGTTCTGCTCACAGACATCACTTCCTGCTGCTGTTTCACAATAAAAGCTTGACATAAGAAAATCACATTGCTGTTTTTATTGTGAAGCAACATCGGATGTTTAACCTTCGTCACGACTGGTTCTCGTCGTTCAGAAGCTGCTGCTGATTGGATGAGAAGAGGAGGCTGACTTGCTCTGCTGGCTTATTAGTTGGCCATCCTGGGAACAAATGCTAAATAACAGAATAAACCGTGCAGACAGGTGAGACAGCAGGTGAGGCAGCAGGTTAGGCAGCGCTGGAGACGGCCAGTTTCTTCAGGTGATCCATGAACACCTGCAGGCTGACGTCATCCGTCAGGATCGGAGCTCCAGACTCCTGCAGAGAACACAACACGTCTGTTAGCACAAGTCTGTTAGAGACACGGATCAACGCAACGTGTTGGTAAACTACAGGTGGATGTCTCACCTGTCCCCAGGCGTACATGTTGTTGTGTGTCTGGGACGGGTTCACTTTGGAGAGCAGGAAGCGAGCCTGAAAAACATCATTATGATTATTTAACAATAATGTAGTATTATAATAACAATGTGTGCTATACATAGAGTACTATATGCACACAGCTAGTGAGGTATAGTACACATTTAGAGATGTAAACGTGTTACGTGTTAGTGCCCCCACCTGGCTGCCTCCATGCTCCGTATCGATGTATCTGGGCATTGGGAAGCGAGTGTGAAGTAGCTCCTGAGCGTCGTCCACCGGAGCCTGAAGGAGGTGTCTGAAGTTCTCGTACTCGGACATTTCCTGATAACCAGCCTTCCTCCACTGAGCTACAGTCTGACAGACAGAGACCAGGGATTAGTTACAATATTCTCCACTGAGCTAGAGCCTGACAGGCAGAGACCAGGGAAGAATAACACTTTTCTCCATGTTTGCTAGAGCCTGGCAGACAGAGACCAGGGATTTTATACTAGTTTACTCCACTGAAAAAGCCTGGCAGACAGAAACCAGGGATTGAAATACTAGTGTTCTCCACTGAGTTAGAGCCTAGCAGACAGAGACCAGGGATTACATACCAGTTTCACCACTGAGCTCGAGCCTGGCAGACAGACATTTAAAGAGACAGTATAACAATAAAACACTGACTATGGAGAAGAGCCTCATAAAACCACACCCATCACTATTGTCCCTTTAAGATGTAAAGATCAGAGTGTAATATATAGAGCATGTACTCTGTGTGTACCCTGTGTGTACTGTGCGTGTACCGTGCGTGTACCGAGCGTGTACTGAGCATGTACTCTGTGTGTACCTCTCCGTGGTAGATGAGGATCTGGAAGAAGGTGTCCATCAGCAGGATCCGGTCCGGCAATATGCTGCTGCTGTCCAACAGAACCGGCTGAGACACACAAATTATGAATTAATCAAATCGTGAGATACTGAAATATTCACACCAGGCATCAACCGTCTGAAGAGTGAAGTAAAAGTTAAAATGTGTCAAAGCTGCATTCTCTCTAGTGTCCACCAGGGGACGACTCCTCTGGTTGTATAGAAGTCTATGAGAAAATGACTCTACTTCTCTCTTGATTTATTACCTCAGTAAACATTGTAAACATGAGTTTATGGTCTCAATCTCTAGTTTCAAGTCTTCTTCAATACAGCATGATGTTCATTTAGTACATTATGGTCCATTTAGAGTCAAATATAAAGGTGTATAAATACCTCAGGTGGTCCGCTGAAGGAATAAGCGTAGAGCACCGGTTGGATCATGATGAGAGCCTGAGTCAGGTCCTGCCTATTGAACTGATGTCTGTAATATGAACTCTCATCTGGACTGTTGTTGAACACTTGAAGGAACGGAGAGCGGCGAAGGTGGAACATGAACTGGAAAAACAACACACAGGTAACGATGGATAACCAGGTCAGCGACGGTTAACCAGGTCATGGTCAGTTAACCACGTCATGGACAGTTAAAAAGTCAGCGACGGGTAACCAGGTGAGCGACAGTTAACCACGTCATGGAGAGTTAACCAGGTCATGGAGAGTTAACAAAGTCAGCGACGGGTAACCAGCTCAGCGACAGTTAATCAGGTCATGGAGAGTTAACCACGTCATGGTCAGTTAACCAGGTCATGGTCAGTTAACCAGGTCATGGATAGTTAACCACGTCATGGTTAGTTAACCACATCATGGACAGTTAACCACATCATGGACAGTTAACCACGTCATGGTTAGTTAACCACATCATGGACAGTTAACCACGTCATGGTTAGTTAACCACGTCATGGACAGTTAACAAAGTCAGCGACGGGTAACCAGGTCATGGAGAGCTAACCAGGTCATGGAGAGTTAACAAAGTCAGCAACGGGTAACCGGGTCAGCAACAGTTATCCGGGTCATTATAAATCACATCCATAGATGTAGAACAGGGACAGAGTATTATGGGATGTGGATCACCTGAGGGTAGAGGGAGAAGGTCTCAGAGAACCTGAAGGAGTTTGGATCATCTTTGTGGTAATCTCCAAACTTCTGACACTGGACAGAAACAGAACGATTCATTAATAATAATAATATTTATTATCTATTTATTATGCATCTTCATTTCTAACCCACCAGTCTGATGAGCTGTCTGTCTAACCATCGAAGGACATCAGGACCCTCCTCCGTCTCCGCCCGGTACACCGACAACCTCGCCATCAAGATGGCCGCCGCCTCCTGATCGAAGGACGCCGCGATGCTCTGAATCTGAGTCTGAGCGTCTGCCCAGCTGTTAGGGAGGAGGAAGAGGAGGAGAAAGAGGAAGAGTGGGAGAGAGGATAAGTTTAGAGGAACATCCCAGTGTCCTAACTATCACCTCCATTGCAGACAGATATCCAGTCTGAATGGACTCTGTGTGTGTGGGTGTGTATCTTACTTCCTGGCCGTGGTGGTGACTCTGATGCGTCTCTGTCCTGATGAGTGTTGGTACTGAGTGACAAACTGGATCGCTCCACGGCCGCCCTGGGGGATTGGAGCGTTGTGCTGCAACAACAATCAACAACAACTCTTTAACACCACGGATCAATAATCAATCCAGAACCTGATCTTTACATGAACTCTGACAGTGAGGAACCTTTAACTGGTCCTGAATCATTCTCACTTTAGACCTGATCCTGTATGTGATCTCGTGAGCAGCAGGTTGTTGGTCATTACACACCTGTACACCTGTCATTACCTGTGAGACACGTGTGTGCACACACACACACACACACACAGGATATTGGATGTTCAGGTAGTGTTGACATTTGAGTCAGCAGATGACTGTGTGTGTGTCCTCTCAATGTCATCACAGCAGGTGACTGACAGGTGCACCACGGTAACGCTGCCTCTGGAGAGAGACGCACGCACGCACGCACGCACGCACGCACGCACGCACGCACGCACGGGGCCGATCAGACTCGGGGCCGATCTGAACTTATCCGAGCAGCGAGTGGACATCAGAGACACATTCCTGCTGGACAGGAAGTGTGTCACGTGTCTCATCTCACCTATGATGTAACCATTGATGTACTTCCTATCCCGTGAGTCCGTCTAAAGATGGCGGACGCACTCGGGACGCTGTACGCCCCTCTGATGGTTCTGTCAGGCGTGGCCTCGATCTGTGGGAACTCCTGCTGGTACTCCTCCTGAACAAGGAGCTCCAGACGGACACCCTGGGGCTCATGGTGAGCTTCTGCATCAGTGACTTGGCCTTGGGACTGTCCACCATCCAGCTGGGGGTCTACAACAGCCTGACCCGGCCCTCCTGTTACTCCAGCGAGGGCGCCTTCCGTCAGGGCAGCGGCTTCCTCCTACTGCAGACCTCCTCGGTCCACTCGCCGGCATGGGCCACTGTGGACAAGTTCACAGAGATCTGCTTCGCCCTCAGCTACCGCGCCATGTGGACGGCAGGGTGCAGCTGGGCGGTGCTGTTCCTGGTCTGGGCGTTTGGCCTGGCGACCGCCGCCTCGCCCCTTCTGGGGTTCGGCGGCTACGTCTACAGCGAGTCGCAGTTCCTCTGCTGCCCGAGCTTCACCTCCGACAACCGGCTCTTCGTGGCGCTCTGGATGTCGGCGGGCATCGCAGCGCCGATCCTCACCGTGTGCTCTCTGTACGGATACATCGTCTACGTGGCTGGGAAACAGGCCCGGAGGGGAATGTTCATGTGCAACAAGCTGCACTGCTACTATGTTCCTGCCAACAACTACCTGAGGAGCTCAGTTGTGATGGTCTCAACCTCAGGTGAGTTTCTGCTGCGCCGTGATTGGTCACAGTCACGACCGACCAGGTTTTAATTAATCTTACTCTCACAGAGTGTCTGACTATCGGCATACGTCATTTATATACCAGGTTATGAGTTTGTTTTCAGTAGTCCCCCACTGCAACTAGTCCCCAGACCTCTGCAACTAGTCCCCAGACCTCTGCAACTAGTCCCCCGACCTCTGCAACTAGTCCCCCGACCTCTGTAACTAGTTCCCAGACCTCTGTAACTAGTTCCCAGACCTCTGAAAGTGGACTGTCAGAGGGTGGAGGACTTCCAATCAGAACCTTCGAATTTCTAAAAATCCTGGTCACAATCCTGTTTATATTCATGGAGTTAGAGCTGTTGAAATGTACAAAATATTGAATTTATAACATGAGATATTAGAATACAGTAAGTGCACCACCCTAACCTAAACCCTGCATGTTGTTTAAAAGGGACAAGTTATTTATTTATAGCTTTTATTTGGATCTTCATATGAATCCCAGTTTGTATTTTACATTACAGTCATTTAGCAGACGCTTTTATCCAAAGTGACTTACAATAAGTGTATTCAACATCGGTTTTTGAGAGAACTACTAGTCACCAGAAGTAATAAGTGCATCTCCTTTAAACAAGCATCTAAGAGCATAAACCAGAGCCAACGTACAGTGCAGAAACAAACGAATGCAGTAAGTGCCACAAACTAATATAAAAACAATAAGTGCAATAAGCTAGTATGAATACAATAGATGCTAAGTAAGTGCTAAGCGGAAGGGTAGGCCTTCTTGAAGAGGTGAGTTTTCAGCCTGCGCTGAAAGATGGGCAGCGACTCTGCCGTCCTGACGTCAGTGGGGAATTCATTCCACCACTGTGGGGCCAGGACAGTATCAACAGTAACCCGATCGCTCTCTAATGTGATTGTAAAAGAGTAGTTAAAGTACACTTTAATGTAATCTGTCTGGACTATGAGACTATAAACATTGTGGACAGAGCGTGGACTCATAAAACACAAACAGTCGTCACATGTTGCCATGGGAACACGATGTCTGAGGTAAACCTGGAGAGTCTTCAGGATCAGCTCCTGTGTTTACCTTCATGACTCACTGTCATTACTCTCATTATGGTGACACACAGTGAGTCAAAGGTCACCACAGCAGCCTGGAAACACATGAACCTTAAACCATATAAACTAGGTTTATGGTCTGACCATAAGTTTAAATTATTACTACAATACCCATGAGCCTCAGCTGCCATTCTAGAGCAGATGTAGACCTCTCCAACTAGTCCTCTCCAACTAGACCTCTCCAACTAGTGCTCAGACCAGAGGTAGCCAACACGGTGCCTGCGGGAACCTGGTCGCTGGCAGGGACCACGTGAGTCGGCAAGGCATGTTCTAAAAATAGCACTAGTCACCATGGAGCTCCGTCTAAAAATTGTAGTTGTTCGTTTTGAATCAAAAACGCTTTAATGAGGATTTTAAAATGACAATATTTCTTGTCATAAGAGAGTTGGGGGACCGGAGGCGCACGGCGGACAGCCAGGACGAGTCCGCCGCACCGCACTGGGTTTTCAGGTTCCGAATTGCGGGCACTTCCCGTTGGCGCCGGACACAGGCCGCGAGCGCACCCCGTCGTCAGGTCCGTCAGTCCTCGGAACAGGCCGCGGGGCAACAACTCGTGGGTGACGGGGGTAGAGGCGAGGCAACGTAATCCGACCGAAAAGGCCCAGACTAGAGGTTTGAACGCGGGCGCCCGGAGACGCTCGCGCGCCTCGGAGGGTTGGATCCCCCCTCGGCTATAGACGAGACTTTTTACTAGTTTCTTCGTGGAGAAAAAGGTACCGTTAGAAAAGCTGGTGTCGGTGACAACAGACGGGGCTCCCGCCATGACGGGCCGGCATGCAGGCTTCATTGCGCAATGTAAAGGTGACCCAGACTTCCCAAAATGTCTACATTACCACTGCATCATTCACCAGCAGGCGCTATGTGCAAAAGTAACCGGCTTTGATCACGTGATGACTCCTGTCTGAAGATCATAAATGGCATCCGCTCCAATGCCAAACAACACAGGATATTCATAACTGATCATTTGTATAAACATGGGACAGAGCTGCTTTGTTGATCACGATTTGTTCAAAAATGTTCCAACGGTAGTGGTTAGTACAAACGAGACATGATGTGAAGATATGACAGTTAATGATTTCATAAAAAAATGTTGGAAGTGATAATTTGTAAAAAAATATAACAGGTGTGATTTTGAACCAAATGCTACAAATGTGCTTATTCATACAAAAGTGTCAAGAAAGATATTTACTAAAATATCAGAGATGTGATACTTTTGACCTTCAAATGTTGAAACAGAATAACAGAAATAAATGTTGCATGTTTACATATATCTGTGTTTTCCTACCATCATGTTGTGGAAATCATTGTTAATAATTATTGTGAGGAATAATTAACATTGACATGTGATCGGACAGACAGTCTCTTCACATATATTATTATGAAAGGTGATCTGTGCACCTTTGTTATTCAGGAAGTTTGTATCAAACAAGTAGCCCTTCGTACTACTCAGTACCGTTGAAGTAGCTCTCAGTTTCAAAAAGGTTGGTGACCCCTGTCTTGGACCATTGCAACTAGTCCCCAGACCTCTGAAACTAGTCCCCAGGGGGTTCCGGTGACATCATCTCCCTGAATGGCAGCCTAAAACCATAGCTCCTCCGGGAAAATAACTACTACGCCCTGATAAACAATCAAATATTACATTTTTCGAGAATATTCCGGCTGGTAAGTGGGGCAACAATGGGGAAAAAAGGACACAAACAAAAAAGCAGGATTGGAGAGCCCGTAAATGAAGAAAGCACAAAGAACAGCTCACAGACACAGGTACAAGATGGCGGAGCTTATGCTAACTCTCAGCCAGATGACACGGCAAGTTTAACGAAAGTTCTGGAAGAAATACGGGACTTTCGCAAAGACACAAAACATCAGCTAAATGATATTTCCTCAGAGCTGGCCAACGTCAACCAAAAAATAGCAGAGGCGGAGACACGGATCGAAAGTGTGGAAGATCGAGTTCAAAACTTGGAACAGTTGCTCGGCAAGATGATAAAAGTGATCAACAGGAAAACAAATTACTCGACCAAGACAGGAGATCACATCGGGAGAATTTAAGGATTTATAATGTTCCCGAAGGAGCGGAGGGGTCATCTATGGTGGAGTTTGTGGAAAAGTTAATGGGTGACACGCTGGAGATCCCCCCAACTACAGACCTTGGTATTGAGAGGGCGCACCGGGCGCTCGCCCCCAAACCTACCGGGGACAGAGAAGACAAGCCACGGTCAATAATAATCAGATTCCACCGATACAAAATCAAAGAAGAGATTCTGGGCGAGGCCTGGGGAAAGAAAAGAGTGCTTCTGAACGAGAGACTAATATATTTCTACCAAGAATATCCCCCAACGGTTCTGCAGAATCGTAAGAAATATTCTGAAGCAAAGCGAGCGTTAAAGCAGAGACAGATCCGCTTCCAGACTCCGTACCCGGCTAAACTGAGAGTGTTTTTACGAAGACGGGACGCGGCTGGACCAGTCGGCGGAAGAGGCGACTGCAGATATGAAAGACAGAGGATTGCCTGTCAGCGTGATCGCACCGAGGGAGAGCCTGGCTGAGCAACTGTCCCGCTCCGCCTGGGAAGTAGTGAGAGGACCGACACAGCAGAGGACAAGAGAAGAGCGAGACAAGAGTATCCAGGAGAGACTGAGGGCCTTCAGA